CCAGCACGAAGGGAAGAAAGAGGCATATCGCCTTGCGACGGCAGGGGCTATGCTGGCCAGGAGAGATCCCGCGGTAGGCCGCATGGCGACGAGGAATGTCATCGATTGCCCGTTCCCTGTGTCGGTGCATCAGTAGGGCGGAAGCCCACTATGCGGACCTATGAGTTTTTGACAACATAGGAGCCCAGGGGCTGACGATGGTTTCGCTGGAGGGCGATGGTGAGGCGGAGAGAGGAAGCTGCTGCTGCTGCTGATCCCCCTCCGCCTCCGCCCATACCTCCCCTCCGCACAGGCAGCCCGATAGGACCAATCAGCCCCGAGTTGGCCGCTAGGGCCAGTGATAGTGAACAGGCTCCGTGGTCGGTGAGAGGCCATGTCTTGCCTTGCTCGAGTTCGAGGTAGAGGGCGACGTTTTTTTGCACAACCTGTGGCGGATATGCCACGGCGTCAGCAGGCTCCAGAGGGCTCCGTGGTGAATGCCAAGGCTCCCGGTTCGCCATTGTGGACCCATGTAGGAAGAACAGCAAAGCGATCATCAAAGGGAAGCATCCACGCAGACCTCTCAAACCGGGTCCCTGGAAGATTCCTTCTGGGGCGGCGAGAGCTTGGGTGGGGGTTCTGGGCACGTCGCAGGGGCCCCGAAGAGAAACGTAAAGAAAGGGCCGTGGAGTGGCCCGCTTGAACTCGTATGTCTGGCAGACTGTCTCCGAGCGTTCGGGCTGAATGAGCTCTAGGCGCACCGTCTTGGAGAGTTAAATGAGCGCTCTGAAGATCAGGGTCTCGCTGAAGACCCAGATGGCTGAATTTCCTCCAGGGGGGCCCTGTCGGGGTCACGGGCAGGTCTTTGGCTTCCCTGCCTGTGACTGACAAAAGTCCATTTTGATGGGCCCCCCTCTGGGAGCTGTTTCTTCAGTCATGGACTTTCTTCCCCCCCTTTCCCCCGAGTGGCGTGCGATCCTGCTCCTCCCGTTCCTTCCACTCCATTTCCTGCTGTTGCTGTTGATCCTCGTTCCCCTCCTTCCCCCTCCTCCTCCTCATTTTCCTCTTGTTCATTATCCAGGCTTCTGCTGGGAGTCGTGGCGTATGCAACTCAGCATCGCAATTTTGTAGCGGAGCGTACGAGGTGTTGCTGCTTATCCAGCCCATTTGGTGGCCCATCGTACTCCACAGTGTTGGGGCCTGCCTGGGGTGCGCGACTCGCGCGAAGCGCGGTCGCACCTTCTCTTCTGGCTTTCCTTTTCTCTTTTCTTGGACGTGCCTCTTCTGAGGCAGGCCGCCGTCCTAGTCCTCGTCCTGTTCATTCCTTATACGTATGTGCGCAGCTCCCCGTTTCCGATTGCGAATCGCACGGGTTACACGGGTTGGCCGTTTCCTGGAGTTCCAGGTCGGCTATCGCACGCGCCCGCGGAGACAGAGCAGACCAGCGCACCTGGAAGGCATCGGAAGTGGGGCGCAAGACGTCAGATGTGGCGCGAGCGCGCCGAGCCTGCCTCCTCCCCTTGCCTTCTCCCCTCCAGACATCCGGCCGCTCCCACGTTGCTGCTGCGTCGGCCCAGAGGTCCAGACCACTCCCCCAGAGGTCAGCTCTCTGCCCCGAGCCGTTTCCCGACGGCCCCGAGGCCCGGCGAAGACCCCCAGGAGGCCGAAGACGGCTCCCAAACCCGCCGTTTCAATCTCTGTGGGAGGCCCCCCCCCCATGTTAGATGTCATTCGTGGGGACCACAGATTCAGTGTCGTCGCATTTCTGATTCCGGGCTTCACCCCCTCCCCCCCCCCATGGAGCAGACCTTGGCTGTCTTTGGCGGCGCCCGCTTCCAGCAGGTGGGGCCTCCCTCATGGGACGCACGGCTCCAGAGAGCCGCACCAAGCCGAGGTCAAGGGCCAGGACCCCCCCCCCTCTCCCCTCCCCCCTTTCGCTCAATGTCGAAACGCCGAAACAAACAGCGTTCACCATCTTAGCTGCCTCGACACGCCCGTCCTGAAGCGCAGCACGTGCCGTGCGCAGAGAACATCCGTGCCAATACGCTCCGTGTCGGCTCCAAGTCTTGGCCCGCGCTTGGGCGAACGCATCGCGCCGGACCCACAGGGTACAGCTTGAATAAGGAACGCTTACTTTTCAAAAGGGGCTCGGTCGTTCCTCTGGTTTGAATGCGTTCCGCTACCTTTTTGGCGGCGAGTCCCCTGGTGTTCCTTCGGGCTTCCCAGAATTACTTGTAGAGGCTTCGTTTCTTATTGATCGCTCCTTAGGTCAGGCCGAATACTGTACGCTTTCGGTCTGCGTGTTGCGCTTCGTATCAATACGCTGCGTGTCGCGTGTTGCGTATCGGGGCACCGCTCAGTCCTCAGCTGCCCCGATGCGCCACGCGCAAGAGCCGCAGCAGTTTTTTGACACACGGAGCTCCGCACGTGGACCGAGAAAACGTAAAGGCCTCGCGCGCGAGATACGCTCGCCAGAGCGTGGGCGCCAAGACGTGGAGCCGACACGCAGCGTATTTTGGCGCGGACGTTCTCTGAGCACAGCACGTGCTGCGTATCAGAGCGGACGCATCGAGAGGTGGCCTGCTTTCCACCACCACCACCGTAAGCTGGAGGGGGGAAGGAGGAGGAGGAGGAGGAGGAGGAGGAGGAGGAGGAGGAGGAGGAGGAGGAGGAGGACCCTCTCCCCCTCCAACCTGTGGTGGTGGTGGAGGGCAGGCCCCCCATCAGCGCGGACGTCTCGGGGCAGCGACGCTCACCGCCCGCGCACGCCGAGGCGCTCCGCTCCGACCCGCAGGTCGTCCTGGCCGCCGTGACCCGGGACGGCGGGGCCCTGCAGCACGCCTCCGACCTCCGCCGGGCGGACCGCCAGGCCCTCGCCTCCCGGGGGCGCCGCCGCCGCCGCGGCCGCCGCCCCCTGCAGGCCGGCCTGCCGAGGCCCCAGGGAGGGCTCCTGAGGCCTCCTTCTCCTCCCTCCTCCGCCCCTCCCCCTCCTCCCCCCTCTCCTCCTCCTCCTCCTCCTCCTTCTCCTTCTCCTCTCTCCTCCTCCTCCTCCTCTTCCTCCTCCTCCTCCTCCTCCTCCTCCTCCTCCGCCTCCTCCTCCTCCTCCTCCTCCTCCCTCCTCGCCCTCCTCCTCCCCCTCCTCCTGCTGCTCCTTCTTCTCCTTCTCCTCGGCCTCCCGCGGTGGCGGTGGGGCGGCCCCAGGCCCCTGTGCATTTTTTCTATCCTGCCGTTCAAGCCCCGTCAGGTTGCTTGCTCGTATGCTGCTCCTAGCAAAAAGCTCCTCCGACTCCAGCGAGCGAGGGGGGGAAGCGAGAAGGAGAAGGCTTTCTCAGAAGGCGGCGGGGCTTCTCCGAAGTCCTCGTGCCTCGTGAGGATTTTTCTGTGCCTTCGGGGAACTGGTGGCCAGGGGACTTCCGGGCCTTTGAGAAGGCCCGCCCCTTTTCACTTCCTCCAAGGGCTCGCCACCGAGAAAAGGTACGGATACCGCCACCCTTGCATCGGTTCTCTCATTTTTGGGCCTCCTGGAGCCGCCTCGGCATTGTGGTCCGAACGCGCCCCAGGAGAGGTCCGGGGATTAGCGGCATCGGTACCTTTTAGTTTTCCCAGGGTCGCCGTGAAGCCAGCAGGTACTGTCGGACGGGGTAGGACGAGGACAAATCTGTTCCAGAGCGTTTCGGAACCCTGTCAGAGCGTTCCGGAATGCTCTGGGAAGGCCGCGGCGCCCGAGACACCCTCCAGAGCTGCCAGATCTCAGAGATCCTCGATTCATCCTCACCCGAATTTGTCCTCGTCCTGGCTTCGTCTCATACTGATAGGGGCCTGGATGCTTCCCGTTGTGCTTCCGGCCTCTCTCGGGGTCTTCCAGGTCTCTGGGGCAGTAAAAAAGGACTCTGGATGAAGAACTGGTCTTGGGGAAGGCTCCAGGGATCCAGGTCCCGTGTCCTTCAGGACCCCACGTCGCCGTCGCCGCCGCCGCCGTCGCCGCCGCCGCCGCCTTCGCTGTCGTCGTCGTCGTCGTCGTCGTCGTCGTCGGCGTCGCCGTCGTCGTCGCCGTCGCCCTCGTCGCCGTCGTCGTCGTCGTCGTCGTCGGCGTCGGCATCGCCGTCGTCGCCGTCGCCCTCGTCGTCGTCGTCGTCGTCGTCGTCGTCGTCGTCGTCGTCGTCGTTCGTCGTCGTCATCGTCGTCGTCGCCGTGGTCGTAGTCGTCGCCGTCGCCGTCGCCGTCGCCGTCGCCGTCGCCGTCGCTGCCGCCGTCGCCGTCGCCGTCGCCGTCGCCGTCGTCGTCGTCATCGTCGTCGTCGTTGTCGTCGTCGTTGTCTTCGATAAATTGAGGTTCGAGGTTCGAGGTTCCGAAGATGTTGACCGTCCACCTCCTCTTCTTCTTTGTATTTGGCCAGGTCTGGCGTCATGGTGTACCCTTTCCATCAGCTTTGGGAAGCTGACGATGCTGATAAGCAGTTGGCCGCGCTCCCTGTCAGATCGAATAACTCCAGATCTTGCTCCCCTTATTTCGGCATTGCACTGTTTCACTGGCTTCGCTGAGTGGGGTCGCGCACGTCTCTCTGGACGTCGTCATCCTCGTCGTCATCGTCGTCGTTACCCTGGCCGCCTTCGTCGATCGATCGATCCGGGTTCTAGGGGCCTCCTTCTCGGCCTCCAGAGGCCCGTTTCCTGGGACCGGCAGTGCGCCTCCGACCTCCAGCGGGCCGCCCCTGCCGCGTCGCGAGCCGTGGATCGAGGACCAGCGAGGATCCGTGATCCAAGGATCCAAGGATCGTCCAGGATCCAAGGGTCGTCGAGGGCCAAGAACCCATGATCGATGGAGGCCCAGGCTCGGTCATGATCCAAGGTCCAGGATCCAGGGTCCAGGATCCGAGATTCAGGATGGACCAAGACCCAGGATCCTGGATCGAGGATAACTAGAAATTTTGGCTCATAAGCCACGACACCATGCCTCAAGCCACCCAGGAGGTTGGCCGACCGGGCTTCGGAGCCTTGCCCCGCGCCCGTCTCCGATCTCAGGGGCCCTCGACGCCTGCGGCGTCCTTGGGATCGCGCGCGACTCCACGGGTGCGGAGGCCAAGCAGGCACGCCATGCCTTGGCGCTCAAGCACCTGCTGGACAGGGCCACGGGGGAGTTGCAGCAGGCGGCCGCCCAGCGCTTCCAGGGGATCCGGGCCGCCCACGATGCGATCCGCCCCGCCAGCCGCAAGCACCGTGACGCTGGCATCGCGGGCCAGGCTCTCGAGAAGGCGCGCCTGGTGGCCGCGTGCGAGGCCAGCGCCGCTGCTCGCCCGAGGCGCCTTGCGGAGGACGCCGCCGACGTCCACGAGCAGGACGCCACTGGACGCACGGCGCTCTTCAGCGCGGCCTCCGCCGCCTGCGTGGAGGCCTTGCGGCTGCTGTTCTGGCACGGCGCGGACGGGGAGGACCGAAGTTGCGCTGGGCGCAGATGCGTGATGTTCGCGGTGGGGGCGGGGCTGAAGGTGGACAGCGAGGCCAAGGCGCGCCAGGCATTTCGCCGCCTGGACGCTGTGCGCCTCCTGCTCGACGAGGGCGCCCCCGTCAACGCTGCCACGAGCTGCGGCCTGACGGCGCTCGTGCTGGCCTGCGCTTCCGGCCGGCTCGACGTGGTCGACCTGTTGATCTCGAGGGGGGGCGGACGTGTGCGCCACGACGGACATCGGCCTGACGCCGCTGGCGATGGCCGCCGCCACAGGGCGGGGCAGCGGGTGGGTGGCGGAGCGCCTCCTGGCTGCGGCCGCGGACCCCGACGGCCCATGTGGTGGTGGGAGGACGCCGCTCATAGTCGCTGCTGCCCAAGCTCACGAGGGCACTGTGGCAGCCCTCGTTGTTGGGAGAGCAGGCGCCAACTGGACATCCGACGACGGCCACTCCGCCTTGCTCCACGCCGTCCAGCAGGGGCTCAAGGACGGCCTGGCCTGCCCCGTCGAGGGACCCCCCCCCGTGGCAGAGGTCCCCGAGCTGCCTGGCCCGGGGGCCGAGGCGCCCGCTGCACGCGGCGAGCGCGGGCGGCAGCGCGGCGATGGTGGAGCTGCTGTGTGCGCAAGCGGACGCCGTTGCAGCTCGCGGGCGGCGCCGGCAGGGACGAGGTCCTGCGCGCCCTCGCCGCCCCGCCGCGCGGAGGCAGCAGCGCCACGGCTTCGCCGGCGTCGCTCGGCTGCGGCTTCGCCGCGTGGTGGTCGCTCTGCTCCGCAGGCTCGCGACCTGCGCGTGAGGCGGTTTGCGCGGCAACCGCCTCGCGCGGGTCCGCTGCCCTGGGACGCCGCGGGTGAGGCGCCCACACCCAATGAAAGACACGCACAGGTCCAGGACGGGATCGTGCAGGGCGTTCCCGATCGCACTTTCCTCTTCTTTGCTGCGCCTCCTTGCTCTTCTGCCTCATCCTCCTCCTCTTCCTCCTCCTCCTCCTCCTCTTCCTCCTCCTCCTCATCGTGGAGTCGCCTTCCCATCAGCTGGGAAGCTTGGGGTTTCCATGCCGAGTTGCCTTGATGGGTACGAAGTTGATGTTGTCGGGCATCCCAGAAGTGGTCAGAAGGGTGGCAGCTCTCCCTCGGCGTAATCTGGCGGAAGTAAAATGCTGGCGCAAGCCGGCGTGAGCTCGGCGGAAGGCGGGTGAGACATCAATTGGATCCAGGGTTTCCGAAATTTGCCACGTCGCAAGTCGCAAATCGCAAATCAAGGACCGAGGATCCAGGGTTCTGGATGTCCTCTGAGTGCTTCTGACGCTCTTTGGACTTTTTGTATCTTGCCCTCTTTGGGCCTAGCGGTCACAGCTGAGCCATCAACGCGCAGAGATCGTTGAGTTGCTGTCAGCCCAGTGGGCCAATTTCTGGGGCCTCTCTTCTGCGAGTAGCTCGTCCTGTCTTGTCATACCCTCCCCTCTCCCCCGACATCGCATTTTTTTCTGTGACACGCCCCCCCCAGGATCTCGACCATGCTGAGCAGTGTTCTGGGGTCTCTTATGCGAGTATCTCGTCCTGTCTTGTCATACCCTCCCCTCTCCCCCGACATCGCATTTTTTTTCCGTGACACGGGCCCCCCAGGATCTCGACCATGCTGAGCCGTGTTCTGACGGTCCTGGGGGCCGGGAAACGGCCCCCCGAGAGGCCGAGACCGCCGACACGCTGGCCGTCGCCATTTCCTCTTTGGCGTCGTCTGCACCTGAGGATGATGGGCCTGTTTTCCACCACCACCACCACCACCAAAGGCTGGAGGGAGGAAGGAGGAGGAGGAGGAGGAGGAGGAGGAGGAGGAGGAGGAAGAGGAGGACGAAGAGGAGGAGGAGGAGGAGGAGGAGGAGGAGGAGGAGGGGGAGGAGGAGGAGGTGGAGGACCCCCTCCCCCTCCAACTTCTGGTGGTGGTGGTGGAGAACAGGCCCATCAGAGGATCCCTCCTCCCCGAGGCTTCCCCGGCTTTCGGGCCCTGGCTCGGGCCCCCTGGCGGCCGGTCGCGACGATCCGGGGCACCCTCGGCACGCTCTCGGCGAGGCGCATCTGCTGGCACGCGCCCCGAGGCGGAGAAACCCCTCCAGGAACCCGAGCACGCGCACCGATTCCGATCGCACCAGCTTCGGGGGGGCACCCTGCCGCAGCCCCGCGCCGCGCCCGCGCCCGCTACCAGGTGGTGTTGGCGGCCGTGTCGCAGGAGACGCGTCCTTCCGCTCCCTGGGCCTGGCCGGGGCCGGGCCCGATGGGTCCGGAGGGTCAGGCAGTGGCAAGGAGGGGGGGCGCCACCCGAGGGGGCGCCAGCTCCCCCTGGAATTCGAGGGTGGAGGAGGTGCAGGAGGGGGAGGAGGAGGACCATGTGTAATTATGTGTGCTTGTGGGCATAAGAATGCACACATACTTACATACATACATATGTATGCATAGCTATGTTCACTTGTGTATGTGTGGATGCATGCCTGCATGCATGCATGCATACATGCATGCATGCATGTCTGTATGGATATCTGTATCTAGGGATGGATTGATGTATGCATGTCTGTAGTGTGCATGTGTGCATGTCTATTGGCATGCATGCATGTATGTATGCATGCATGCATGTATATATATATATATGCATGTCTGTATGGATACGCGTATTGATGCATGCATTCATGCATATGTGTGTATATATAGAGATATATAGATTCATACATGCATGTACGTGTATGGGTGCATGTAATGTATGCAGGTGTGCATGCATGTGTATGCAGGTCGTATGTGCATGCGTATACGTATGTTAAAATGTATGTATCTATGTATGTCTGCCCGTATATATGTGCATGTATGTCTAACGTCTGTATGTATGTGCATATATATATACATATGTATGCTCACGTGTGTCTGTGTGAATGCGTGTATGTATGTGTGTGTATGCTCGTACGTATGTATGTCTGTCTGTCTGCATGCATGTATACATGCATGCATGTAGGTATGTCTGTATGTGTACACGTACAAATTTGTATGTATGTACATATACATATGTATGTACGTATAGGCGTGTTCATGCGTGCATTTGTGTATGCATGGATGGAAGTATGTGTGTAAGTGTGTACGTATGTATTCATGCATGTATGTATGTATGTCTGTCTGTATGCATGCATGGATGCATGCGATGTCTGCATGTATGCGTGTATGTATGCATGCCTGCGTTTCCGTATGTACGTATGTATGATTGTATTCATGTGTGCATGTATGCATGTATGCATGTTGTATGTAGGTATGCATGTATGCATGGTAGGTATGCCATTATGTTTGTATGCATGTATGTATGTACGTGTATGTATGTAAAGTATGCGTGTGCACATGCATATATGTATGCATGAAGGTCTGTAACGTATGCATGTGTATGTGTATGGTTGCATGCAGGTGTGTATGTATGTATGTAGGTATGGATGCATGTGTTTGCAACACAGTAATTTGAGGGAGTTTCTGTGGAACTCACGTCATCCTCACCCCCGGCGCGAAGAGCACGAGCCCAGAGCGGCCTCCGGCACCGTTTCCGGACAGATCCGGTGGATCCGGTGACGAATCCCAAACCGGCGCCCTCGCTTGAGACATCCTCACAAAACCGGCCCCGGGGGAGGTGCCCAGAGGAGCCCAGAGCGGCCTCCGGCACCGTTTCCGGACAGATCCGGTGGATCCGGTGACGAATCCCAAACCGGCGCCCTCGCTTGAGACATCCTCACAAAACCGGCCCCGGGGGAGGTGCCCAGAGGGGCCCAGAGCGGCCTCCGGCACCGTTTCCGGACAGATCCGGTGGATCCGGTGACGAATCCCAAACCGGCGCCCTCGCTTGAGACATCCTCACAAAACCGGCCCCGGGGGAGGTGCCCAGAGGAGCCCAGAGCGGCCTCCGGCACCGTTTCCGGACAGATCCGGTGGATCCGGTGACGAATCCCAAACCGGCGCCCTCGCTTGAGACATCCTCACAAAACCGGCCCCGGGGGAGGTGCCCAGAGGAGCCCAGAGCGGCCTCCGGCACCGTTTCCGGACAGATCCGGCTGGATCCGGTGACGAATCCCAAACCGGCGCCCTCGCTTGAGACATCCTCACAAAACCGGCCCCGGGGGAGGTGCCCAGAGGAGCCCAGAGCGGCCTCCGGCACCGTTTCCGGACAGATCCGCTGGATCCGGTGACGAATCCCAAACCAGCGCCCTCGCTTGAGACATCCTCACAAAACCGGCCCCGGGGGAGGTGCCCAGAGGAGCCCAGAGCGGCCTCCGGCACCGTTTCCGGACAGATCCCCGTGGATCCGGTGACGAATCCCAAACCGGCGCCCTCGCTTGAGACATCCTCACAAAACCGGCCCCGGGGGAGGTGCCCAGAGGAGCCCAGAGCGGCCTCCGGCACCGTTTCCGGACAGATCCGGTGGATCCGCTGGATCCGGTGACGAATCCCAAACCGGCGCCCTCGCTTGAGACATCCTCACAAAACCGGCCCCGGGGGAGGTGCCCAGAGGAGCCCAGAGCGGCCTCCGGCACCGTTTCCGGACAGATCCGGTGGATCCGGTGACGAATCCCAAACCGGCGCCCTCGCTTGAGACATCCTCACAAAACCCGGCCCCGGGGGAGGTGCCCAGAGGAGCCCAGAGCGGCCTCCGGCACCGTTTCCGGACAGATCCGGTGGATCCGCTGGATCCGGTGACGAATCCCAAACCGGCGCCCTCGCTTGAGACATCCTCACAAAACCGGCCCCGGGGAGGTGCCCAGAGGAGCCCAGAGCGGCCTCCGGCACCGTTTCCGGACAGATCCGGTGGATCCGCTGGATCCGGTGACGAATCCCAAACCGGCGCCCTCGCTTGAGACATCCTCACAAAACCGGCCCCGGGGGAGGTGCCCAGAGGAGCCCAGAGCGGCCTCCGGCACCGTTTCCGGACAGATCCGGTGGATCCGGTGACGAATCCCAAACCGGCGCCCTCGCTTGAGACATCCTCACAAAACCGGCCCCGGGGGAGGTGCCCAGAGGAGCCCAGAGCGGCCTCCGGCACCGTATCCGGACAGATCCGGTGGATCCGCTGGATCCGCTGGATCCGGTGACGAATCCCAAACCGGCGCCCTCGCTTGAGACATCCTCACAAAACCGGCCCCGGGGGAGGTGCCCAGAGGAGCCCAGAGCGGCCTCCGGCACCGTTTCCGGACAGATCCGGTGGATCCGCTGGATCCGGTGACGAATCCCAAACCGGCGCCCTCGCTTGAGACATCCTCACAAAACCGGCCCCGGGGGAGGTGCCCAGAGGAGCCCAGAGCGGCTTCCGGCACCGTTTCCGGACAGATCCGGTGGATCCGCTGGATCCGCTGGATCCGGTGACGAATCCCAAACCGGCGCCCTCGCTTGAGACATCCTCACAAAACCGGCCCCGGGGGAGGTGCCCAGAGGAGCCCAGAGCGGCCTCCGGCACCGTTTCCGGACAGATCCGGTGGATCCGGTGACGGATCCCAAACCGGCGCCCTCGCTTGAGACATCCTCACAAAACCGGCCCCGGGGGAGGTGCCCCGAGGAGCCCAGAGCGGCCTCCGGCACCGTTTCCGGACAGATCCGGTGGATCCGCTGGATCCGCTGGATCCGGTGACGAATCCCAAACCGGCGCCCTCGCTTGAGACATCCTCACAAAACCCGCCCCGGGGGAGGTGCCCAGAGGAGCCCAGAGCGGCCTCCGGCACCGTTTCCGGACAGATCCGCTGGATCCGGTGACGAATCCCAAACCGGCGCCCTCCCTTGAGACATCCTC